ACAGCCACACCCTTCTTCATTCAAAATTTCCTCCCTCCTCCCCCTTAAAGATGGTGCATGGGAGGGAGTGTCTTTGAGAAAGTACTACTAAAACTACAAATTAATAGGTGAATCAAGGTGGCTCATAGAGTAAGTTGTACATTTTTATTTTTATTTTTTTCTCAGCATATTTTCTTTCTTTCTTTTTTCAGAGACAGAGTCTCACTTTGTTGCCCTTGGTAGAGTGCTGTGGCATCACAGCTCACAGCAACCTCCAGCTCTTGGGCTTAGGAGATCCTCTTGCCTCAGCCTCCCAAGTAGCTGGAACTACAGGCACCTGCCACAACACCCGGCTGTTTTTTTGTTGCAGTTTAGTCAGCGCTGGGTTTGAACCCGCCACCCTTGGCACATAGGGCCGGCACCCTACTCACTGAGCCACAGGCGCTGCCCAGCTTTTCTTTGAAGCTGTCTGCTTCTTAGGTAATTTGACTACAGATAGACTAAAGGAAAGACGGAATAAAGGGAACCGGCATGTAAAAATGGAAGAGTAAATGTGAATTTTAAATTATTTCCTTTTCTCTTGAAAAATTTTGCTAGAACACAATTCTACTTCTAGAAGTTTACCTTAAAGAATTAAGATACGTATAAAAATGTACATATCTACACATAGAAAGTTGCAGTATAAAAGATGATAAATGGGCTGGGTGCAGTGGCATCATGTGCCTCCAATCCCAGCTACTTGGGAGGCTGAGACAGAAGAACTCCCTGAGCCCAGAAGTTTGAGACAAGCCTGGCAACATAAGGAGACTCCATTTTGAAAAAATGTATATAAAAAATGTATACCTGTATAGAATGCCTGCCATGAACGGAGCTTGCAGGACTGAAAGTTGTTCCGGGGGAGTTAGTGAGTGAGAGGTGAGTGAATGTGAAGTTCTGGGATATTACTGTACACTATGTAGGCTTTGTAAACACTGTCCACTTAAGCTACACTACATTTGTTAAAATACTTTTCTTTAAGCATAATAATCTTAGCTTACTGTAACTTTTTTACTTTATAAACTTTTAACTTTTTAAAGCTTTTTTGACTTTTCTTTTCTGAGACGGATTCTCACTCTGTTGACTTGGATAGAGGGCCATGACATCATAGCTCACAGCAACTCCAAACTCCTATGCCCAAGTGATTCTCTTGTCTCAGCCTCCCAAGTAGCTGGGACTACAAGCACCTGCCACAGTGCTCAGCTAGTTTTTTCTGTTTTTAGTACAGATGGGATCTGGCTCTTGCTCAGGGTGGTCATGAACTCCTGAGTTCAAGCAATCCAGAGACAATAGCTGCCATTATTTTGGTTGGTTTGCTTTGCAATCTGGTCTGTGTAAAGTCAACCGACTCTCTTGGTCATGGGTGTCTCGGTGTCCATAGGCTCCTCTGTGTTTGGCCTTGGCTAAGCTGACTTTGTCTGCAGATTACATGGTTGTCTATGTAGAAAATCTGGAAGAATCAACAAAATAGGCCAGGTGTGGTGGCTCATGCCTCTAATCCTAGCACTCTGAGAGGCTGAGGTGGGTGGATTGCCTGAGCTTACAGGTTCCAGACCAGTCTGAGCCAGAGCGAGACCCCATCTCTAAAATAGCCAGGTGTTGGGGTGAACGCCTGTAGTCCCAGCTACTCAGGAGGCTGAGGCAAGAGAATCACTTAAACCCAAGATTTTGAGGTTGCTGTGAGCTGTGACTCCATGGCACTCCAGGGCAACAAAATAAAACTCGGTCTCAAAAAAAAAAAAAAAGAATCAACAAAATAACCCTGTGGAATGGATACATGATTATAATAACATCAAAGGATATAAGATTTATGTACAAAAGTTAATCACTTTCCTATATGCCAGTAATGGACTGGTGAAATTTTAAATTAAAAACACATTCCTGTTTATATTAGCATCCTAAGAAATGAAATTCTTATATCTAATCTAATAAAATATGAACAGGCTTATATGAGGAAAATTATAAAACTCTAGTGAAACGTATCAAAGACAAATTAAATAAATGAAGAGATATTCCGTGCCCATGCCATGAATAGGAAGACTCAATATTTTCAAGATGTCATATTTTCTTAACTTGATTTATAGACTGAACACAACCCCTGTCAAAGTCCCAGCAAGTTACATGGTAGATATCAGCAAACCAATTCTGTAGGTTAGGGACCCAGAATAGCCAACCCAATAGTGAAGGAAAAGAACAAAGTCAGAGAACTGACCCCTTTGAACATCAAGATGTCTGTAACTAAAGTTATCAAGACAGTGTAATAGTGGCAAAAGAATAAACAAATATCAATTGAACAGAGAGCCCAGAAATAGACTCTTATAGCCACATAAATATAATTAACTGATTTTTTTTTTGAGACAAAGTCTCATTCAATCGTTCAGGCTGGAGTGCAATGGCAAGCTCATGGCTCCTTGTAACCTCAAACTCCTGGGCTCAAGTGATCCTCCTGTCTTAGCCTCCCAAGTAGCTAGAGACTACAGATGCATGCCACCACACTCAGGCAATTTCTAAATTTTTTGTAGAGATGGGATCTGGTTATGTTGCCCAGGCTGGGTCTCAAACTCCCAGCCTCAAGCAGTCCTCCTGCATCAGCCTCTAAATTCTGGGATTACAAGCATGATCCACCACACCCAGCCAGTTAACTGATCTTTGACAAAGGAGAAAAAGGCAACATAATGAAGCAAAGCAGTCTTTCATCATAGGTGCTAGAACAACTGGACAGCCACATGCAAAATAAGCAAAAACAGACCTCACATCGATTCACAAGAATTAACTCAAAATGGGACATAGACTTAAATGGAAAATGCAAAACTGAAATGCTAGAAGATATCGTCAGAAAAATCTAGATAACCTTGGGTATGGTGATAAGCTTTTTTTTTTTTTTTTAGATAGAGTCTCACTGTATCACCCTGGATAGAGTGCCATGGGATCATCATAGTTCATAGTATCTCAAACTCTTGCACTCAAGCAATCCTCTAGCCTCAGCCTCCAGAGTAGCTGGGACTACAGGCACCCACCAGAATGCCTGGCTAGTTTTTCTGTTTTTAGTACAGACAGAGTCTCACTCTTCCTCAGGTCTTGAATTCCTGAGCTTAGAGGATCCACCTGCCTTGACGAGCCACCTGCCTCGACCTCCCAGAGTGCTATGATTACAGGCATGAGCCTCTATACTGGTGATAAGCTTTTAGATGTGACACCAGAGGCATGATCCATGAAAGAAATAATTGATAAGCTGGAAATAATTGATAAGTTTTTAATTAAAATTAAAAACTTCTGCTCTGCAAAAAGCAATGTGAAGAGAATAAGATAAGTCACAGACTTGAGAAAATATTTGCAGTCCAGAACATGCTACCACTGACAAGACTGGGGAGCAACAGCGATGCCCATTCATTGCTGGTGGGAATGGAAAATGGTCATGACTTTGGTAGGCAGTTTTGCAGTTTTGGTCAAAAAAACAACCCGGAAATCATACTCTTTGGTATTTACCCAAATAAACTAAAAACATAATGTTCACACAAAATCCTGAAAATGAATGTTTATAGCAATTTTTATTCATAATTGCTAAAATTTGGAAGCCACCAAGATCCCCTTTAATAGGTAGAAGAATAAGTAAACGGTGGTACATCCAGAAAATGGAATGGAATTCAGTGCCCAAAAGAAGCCATGAAACTCTCAAGCCGTGAAAAAGACATGGAGGGGCCAAGTGACAGGAGCCAATCTGAAAAGGCTGCATCGTACATGATTCCAACTCCATGACATTCTGGAAAAGGCAAAATCATGGAGACAGTAAAAGGATCTGGGGTTGCGGTCATTAAGGGGAGAAGAGATAAATACGCAGAGCGCAGAATAGCCCTATCAGGGTAGCGAAACTGTCCTGAGTGATGCTACAGTGATGGATGCAGCTCATTGTACTGTATGTGTCAAAACCCATAGAACGCACAGTGCCAAGAGTGAATCTTGGGATAAACTGTGAACTCTGGGTGATAATGAGCAGTCACTCTTGGTTCATCTATTGTAAGAAATGTCCCACTCTGGGGGAATGGGTGGAGGGAGGGGGTTTGGAGGGATCACTTCTGAGGTTTATCTTATAGGGGTACAGGTGAATCTTTCTAAGAGTAGAATGTGAACGTTTTAAAGCAATAACGAGAAAATGACACGAAGGCTGTGTTGACCAGTTTGATGGAAGTATTTCAGATTGCATGTGAAAACCCCACACTGTACCCCAGAAGTGCATTAATGTACATAGTTACCATTCAATAAAAAAAAAAAAAAAAAAAACACAGAAATGTCCCACTCTGGTACAGAACGTTGATAGTGGGGGAGGTTGTACACGGGTGGAATTGAGGAGTAGATGGGAACATTTTGTGCTTTCAGCTCAATTTTTCGGTGAACCTAAAACATACTTTAGTTTTAAAAATATAAGGTATTCAGTAACACAGATGAAGTAATCCCATTTATGTTAAAAAAGAACACACAGAAATGTGTATGTACTTACATTTGTACGCATATACATAAAAATATATGGGTGTGTGTGTTTGGTAATGGTCTTTCCATTGGGTTTGGTGTTGGGGGAAGGGAGAGACGCCCTCTGCTATACTCTGTAGTCTGTAACATTGATCTTTTGACAAAGAGTACCTGTTCATTTATCTAAATAAGGCAGAAACGATCTTGCTGCTAAGCCTTTATCTCCGAATCCTCCTTCCAAGGAGACAGCAGGGATTGTTGTCTGGCCATTTTAAAATATAAAGTTGTAGCGCTTGGCACCACATTTATTCATCCAGCAAGACTTTTTTGAGTGCCTGGTCTGTGCCAGGCATTCTGCCAGGGCCTGGGGTTGCCAGGGTGACCGAGAAACAGCCCGTGTGATCTTAGTTCTAGGTACAGGTGGCACCTGGGGCAGGAGGGGGGAGTTGTTTTTTCTTTTCTCACAAGCTGAAAAAGTCTCATACAGTTTGGAAAAGCTGATTGTGATTCCTTCTCCTCAGAGAAGCCGTGTGGAGACCCACCTTCGTTTCCCCACACCGTTCTGCAGAGCCGCACTGGCGTGGAGATGGGGGATGAGGTGCTGTATGTGTGCGCCCCCGGCCACATCACGGGCCATCGGGAAACCGCCTTCACCTTGCTCTGTAACAGCTGTGGAGAGTGGTATGGGCTGGTGCAGGCCTGTGGGAAAGGTAAGCACCCTGGGCTGGGCCACCTCCTCGTGCCCACGCATGCTGGCAGAGGGCCCCACCTCTATCGGCTGCCTGTGGTGGGCTTTCTCCACCTCAGCATTGCAAATACAGCGAGTGTATTCACAGCGGCATTCTGCATCTTCCGTACTGGGAGTAAAGAGCCAACAAATCTCCTCTTCTTCTCTCAGGGCAGAGGTGATGTTGGGGTAGCTTTCTGGAGTATTTCCCTGGGAACCTGGTCAAGATGGAATGTCAGCTGTGGGATCAAGCAGCACTGCTTATGGTAAAAACAACCCCAGCTGGTAAACTGGGCTAGGAGGACTATGGTGAGCACATGAGAGGGAGCCAGCTCTGAGTTGTCCTGAGAGTGCTGATTCTTGTGCCCAGACATGACCTCTGCGGTGACCCTGAGAACTACTCTGTGGGTTGTTACTAGAGATCTGGGCTCCTGTAGGGCGTGGGACATCTAAACACCTTGGATCCGCACACTCATGCAAGTCCTGTTCCCTCGCACCTAAGAAATCATGCAGGTGGGGGCTGGGTACAGAGCAAGGAGGCTACCTCTGGGACAGCTGCGTGGGACGATGACCACTGACAGGAATTGCCTACTGCTGCTTCCTGGCCTGGAGCCTTTTGAGGGCCAGCTTTGTTCTCTGATAGTCAAACATGAGTCTGAATAATTAGTTAAGACTAAAAAGAGTCCTAGTGGACATTGAATTCCGAAGACCTGATCTGATTTCCCCAGATGTCCCCATTCCATCAATATCACATTCCTGGGAGGTCCTGGGTTTCTGTAGTCACCCCTCTGCCTAGCCCCTTGGGAATTTTCCCAGCAGTAGAAATCACTGTTTCCAGCCATGGCCAGGCCTGGCCTTACCACCTCAACAGGGACATAGCACCCACCAGGGGCCTTGGGCAGCCCCATGGCCAGCCTGGGCTTAGGACTGCAACCCTTTGGACTTCATACCAGATCCTGACTTGTTCCTTGATCTCACAGGGTTCCCCTCACCCCAAGCCTCTTTCAAGGAACCCCCTCTCTCATTCCCCATAACATCTGGGTACCCATCGGAGACTGGTTTTACAGAGGCAGGTGCCTGTAGCACCATGATGCTAGTGTATTGATAAGACAATTTGTCCCTAGAACATTCTGCAGATCCCAAGGGAACCACAGTGGGACCCAGGGCACTGTCACGTCTGCCAGATTCCCCCACGTCATTGCCTGAAGTTGTGGTTTGTTGCCTTCACTATTGGTTGCTGTCCCTAATAGGAATGCACCACTATTTATTTATCTAATCTGCTGTTTGTGGACATTGGTTGATTTTCATTTCCTGACTGTTATAAACTGTGATGCCATGATTATTTCCATCTCTGTCACTTGGTTCACATGTGACACAGTTCCACTGGTTTCTAAGAGTGAATTGCTGCCCATGGGGTGGGTGTGTGGATACTGCTGATGAGTTTTATAAACTAATGGACCAGTTTGCTCTCCCGTCAGCAGTGTGTGAGAGTACTTGTTGCTCAGCACCCTTACCAACCTTTCAGATTGCCATTCTGGCGCTCTCGGGACAGGTAGTTGCAATATTATTTCTCTGATAATAGTGACGTTTAGCACTTATCACATGATAACAGGCATTAGAATTTCCTCATGTATGTAAAATGCCTGTTCAAGTATTTTTCCCTTTTTTCAAACTGATTTGAATTGATGATTTATGTACTGTAGATCTACATGAAATGTTCATAATTAATGTGTTGCAAATGTTTTCTCATTCTGTGGCTTTTTATTCTTGGCATATCTTTTAATGAAGACACTTTTTTTTTTTTTTGAGACAGAGCCTCAAGCTGTCAACCTGGGTAGACTGCCGTGGCATTACAGCTCACAGCAACCTCCAACTCCTGGACTTAAGTGATTCTCTTGCATCAGCCTCCCAAGTAGCTGGGACTACAGGCACCCACCATAACACCTGGCTATTTTTCGGTTGTAGTTGTCATTGTTGTTTGGCAGGCCTGGGCTGGATTCAAACCCGCCAGCTTTGGTGTGTGTGGCTGGCGCCTTAGCCGCTTGAGCTACAAGGCACTGAACCACAATGAAGATGCTTTTTGGGGGGTTAGGGAGGAGAGAAAAAGATGCCACCCTCAGTAGAGTTCCCTGGTGTCACAGCTCACAGCAACCTCAAACTCTTGGGCTTGAGCAATTCTCTTACCTCAGCCTCCCAAGTGGCTGGGACTACAGGCACCTGCCACAACGTCTGGCTATTTTTTTATTGCAGTTGCCTTGTTGTTTAGCAGGCCCAGACTGGGTTCGAACTCACCAGCCTCAATGTATGTGTCCGATGCCATAGCTACTATGCCAAGCTATGAAGACACTTTTTGTTACTTTTTTTTGTCTATTTCACTACTTTTCAACCTTTATATTATTGGCAGACTGATACTTTGACAAAACATAATAGAAATGATCCTTTTATAGGGTAGTGCCTGTGGCTGGCACTGGCCCCATGTACTGAAGGTGGTGGGTTCAAACCCGACCCCAGCCAAACTGCAACAAAAAAATAGCTGGGCGCTGTGGTGGGTGCCTGTAGTCCTAGCTACTCGGGAGGCTGAAGCAGGAGAATTGCCTAAGCCCAGAGTTGGAGGTTGCTGTGAGATGTGTGATGCCATGGCACTATACTGAGGGTGATAAAGTGAGACTCTGTCTCTACAAAAAAAAAAAAAAATCCTTTTTATAAAATAAAAATTAATATAAAAATAAAATAGATTCCAAGTATAAGCACAAATTTTTGTCAAATAGATATAAAATTCCCCTGTCAAATTGTAACAAAAGCTTTTAACAGTGTCAGTGTATCGAGTTGCCTTGTTGGATACTAGTAACAAAAAATCACAAACCAGGACAGCGTTAGAAGCATAATTTAAGCAATCTTTTAGAATTTCCCTCATCTTTCCTCTGTTGCTGTTGCTTTGTGCCAGGAAGCGGGTACTTGCCAATTCTGATCGTTCACCCACCTAAGCAAATCAAGCATAAGGACCTGGCTTCCTGTTTGTTGAATGTGTCCCCTTGACACAGACTTGTACTTACCCTGAGGTTGTACTTACCCTCCCGTGAGCCACACCCTCCGGCCAAATGGGTTGTTTACTGGCCCCAGTAGAATGAGAACTAAATGCAGGTTTTGTGGGCCTGAAATAGTGTTTATTTTCTACTGCGATGCAGAGTTATTAGAGCTTTCAGCTGCTGGACAGGAATTCTGGCTTCTGCCCTTGGCTGGGTCTATAGACTTACAGTTTTCATTACTCTGTAGATTAAATATTTAAACTATCTCTGTCAGTTTAAGAAATCTGTGTGTGTGTCTTTTTGTTACAAGACTATCTTCACCAGATATTTCACTCCATTTTGCATCTATTGTTTCTGGAAAAAATTAACTTTTTCAGGAGGAAATCACTTCTGATTAGAGAAAAGTCATTTTGGCAGAGTGGGTCAAATAAGGCTCCTTGAGTTTGGTAATAACTGTTCCCTTGTAGTAGCTGGTGGACGATTCATCCATTCACTCGTTTCACATCCCATCATTGGCGGGATCCTAGGTGCTGCATATGTAAGGTTACACACAACACAATTTCAACCCCAAAGGAAATGCTGATATGCTGGGTGCCTCAGAGGACACAGAAGCAGTAGGTGACCAGGCAGAAGGGAAAGCTGGAAAAGTGAGGTGTTGCCGAAGGTGACATTTTAATGGAAGTGTATTTGCAGATGGAAGAAGGGCTCCATGAATTCGAGGGCTATAGAAATCGAGTAAATGAAAGCTAGTGAGTGTGCCCTGGCTACGGTACAATGCGAGTTCCGGCAGCCTTGTATTTCCAGTGTGAATATGGTGGGGGGAGGATAACACGCCAGGGCCACACCACATTCATACAGGAGGTGGGTGGGGTGAGGTAGATCATTCTCGAATTTCAGCTGTTCTTGAAGAATTGGAAAGTCACAAAGGGTAGAGGTGAAGGAAGATCAGGAGTCCAAAGAAGTATGGGAGTTTATTTATTTATTTATTTATTTATTTTTGCTTGCCCTTTTTTTTTTTTTTTTTTTTGACAGAGTCTCACTATGTTGCCCTTGGTAGAGTGCTATGGCATCATAGCTCCTCACTACCTCTTAATCCTGAGCTTAAGTGATTCTCTTGCCTTAGCCTC